GTTTTAAAAAAATAAACAAAATAATAAAAAAAGCTTCATCTATGGGACACATATCTATCCCGCAACAATTACACAATATATACCCTAGAAAGTGAAGGCTAACAGTTTTGAAATAAACTCCAGCTACTTAAAAGAGTGAAGTACAAAAAAAAAATAGACAAAAAGGGAATTTATTTTGTTTTATAGACCTTAGAAAAATGCAACCTAATGGAAACACAGGCAGCAAGATACTGGAATCTAGATAGTCTACCACTTTTCCACTCCTTCGCCAATTCCTCATTTTTAAGGAAAATGACCACTTCAAAATGAGGCTGGGTAGAGGGATAGATTAAAATGACTGGCAAGATAGCATTTACATTTATTATCTCTTTTCCTTTTAAACATCAGTATTTACGTCAGAATACATTTGGTAGAGAAAGTAAAGAATGAGATAACTAGCCTAGTTTCTTAAATGGCTAAGAGACACGTGTACCTGTACCTTCAGGGAATGGCCATCAAGAGGGAATAACGAACAAAGCACCAATTAATAGACATGTATTCTAAGGGGGAAATAAAGAGGTGCAACTGAAGATTTATATACAAAAATATTCATTGCAAGAATAGTTTTAACAGCAAAAAACTGGAAACAACCCATACACCCAATAAGAGGAGAATGATTTTATTTTATTAATTAACTAATTTATTTATTTTTGGCTGCTTTGGGTCTTCGTTGCTGTGTGCGGGCTTTCTCTAGTTGCCGCGAGCGGGGGCTACTCTTCGTTGCAGCATGCGGGCTTCTCATTGCAGTGGTTTCTCTTTTTGCGGAGCACAGGCTCTAGGTGCGCAGGCTTCAGTAGTTGTGGTACGTGGGCTCTAGAGCACAGGCTCGGTAGTTGTGGTACATGGGCTTAGTTGCTCCATGGCATGTGGGACCTTCCCGTGGGACCTACCCGGACCAGGGCTCAAACCCGTGTCCCCTGCATTGGTAGGCAGGTTCTAACCACTGTGCCATCGGGGAAGTCCCGAGGAGAATGATTTTAAAAAATGATGATTTAAAAAGACTAGAAATATATACAGTAAGATGTTTACAGTTAGTTGGATTATTCATGTTTTCTAATTTGTCTATTAGTTTAATAATAAGCAAAATAGGCTGCTTTGTTTAATAATAATGATAACAGCTCCCACTCATTAAATGGTCTATGTACTAGACACTGTATTATTAGATATTTTACATAGTTTGTTAATCTCCACTACTACAAGGCAGCTATCATTATCATCATTTTATATAAAGTACACAGTCTTTAGGCTTCTAGTTTCACTAGTTACCTGCTTCCCAGTATGAACTATGAATTAATTCTTTTATAAAATAAGCAGGTCTCTATTAGATAACATAGGCTCTTGTCTCCTGGTTTGATGTCTGGGTTTAGGAAGCTATTCAGAACTGCATGGAGTCACATTCAAAGATATGGAATGAAAAGAGCTTAAATAAGGGTCACTTTCTGCAGAAAGGAGACTTGTTTATTGGCGGTAGATTCTTAGACAAAACTGGATTTTCTTTTCTTCCCATGCAAATTTCACATACAATAACAAAAATAAGTACCACATATCTTTCACTTTTCTATAGCACTTTTCGTAAAATTCATATGCTGATTCATTTGATCCTCACAACACCAAGCTGCACAAGATGGGAAGTAACACCTTCATTTTAGAGATAAAGGACACCGAGAAGTTAAAATGTCTTAAGATCATCTTGCTAATAAGAAGTGGGTAAAAGCCAAACCCACATCTCTGGATCTTGTCCTCTACTATACTTATCAACTGGGAATACTTTCACACGACCCTAGCACTTGCTGGGGAAATACTTGTTTTCTTCTATAAAAGTACAGCTTTTATATATTGAAAGTTTTCCTTTTACTTAAACTGCTTTTGAGACAGGTTGTTCCAATGATCGAATTTGTCTTCTGAAGGATAAAACTGCAGAGAGTAAGTTTCCTAGTCATCTTATAAAATGTGAATAGCCAGTATGGAGATATTCATCAAAATGTTAATAGTAGTTATCTCTAAGAGGAGGGATTTCAGATAACTTTAGTTTTCTTCTGTTCAAAATGAAACACTTCATCCTTTCTATGTGATCCAGACTTAAAACCACTTTTGCATCCCCCACTGTGTTGTACATAGTAGGCGTTCAGGAGCAGGTGCTGAATAAGCCACTATTTCCTAAACTTCTGCCACACCTGTGTATTCTCTGTGTGATTATTTAATATCTTTTAAAAAATCAATTCACTTTTTAAAACTTAACCTTATCCTAAATGACAATTTTCATGATAAGCTAGTTTTATCTTTTTCCTAATATACATTAATACACATATAGCCATTCAAATTTCAAATACTGATATACTACCTAAAATCACCTCACCTGTGGTACATGCACTGGCGTTCTGCGTCAATCTTTGATTTCCTCCTTTACTCCCCATGATAGCAATCACCCAAGTACTTTAAATCCATCTTTTATTATGACTCCACACTTATTCTCACCTCTCACTCTAGTGTAGGCCCTTATTTCACGCTTATCTCGGTTATCTTGATGCAATAGGCCCCTAGAAGTCCCCCTTGCCTCTAATCTTTGCTCTATCATATATGTTGCCACCAAATTTTAAACTTCCTAAAACAAGCTTTGGCCTCTACCCAAATCAATCTAAACTTTCCAGGCCATTGAAAACAACCACTCAATGTCTTCAGGAAGAAGTACTTTACAAACTGGTCCTGGCCTACCTTTCTATCCCCTTCTACAAGAATCTGTTTATTCATTAGTCTCAGAATAGCCATTGTGTAGTTGTCTTTATAGCTTTATTCATTCCATATCTTCAACCTGAAAAGCTCCATCCCCAAGTCAAAATTTCGCCTAGTTCTGAAACCTGTCTGACCATTAGCATCTGCATTAATTTCTTAGTTTCTAAAAGCCACACTATTTCAGCCACTCGCTTACCACTCTCTGCCTTAAACTATGAGCTCTTTGTATACATATCTACTCTCCTCTCCTACAGGTTCTTTAGGGTAGGACTATGTAACTTATACATAGATGCTAAAATATTTGCAGCTACTCTTCAAGAAGCCAACAAAATAACTCAAACTCCATTCAACATGGTTCAAAAGACTAATCTTTTCTAAGATTTAAGCCAAAGAATACTGTTCTCACCGATACTAAAGGTCAGTTATTTCATTACTGAAACCAGCAGACCACTGTCTAACACCCAGGTTTGGCTATAAAGTAATCCACCCTGTATGTGGATACCTCTTCAGCAGGTTGACTTGCTGAACTTGCATGATTCCTCACTGTTGTCACCTGGTTACTCTTTTTGGACTTCAGTTTTCCTGTCTATAAGATGACCTTAAGAGCTCTTCCTAGCTTAAAATCCTATGACTCTTGGTCAGACCAAAATGACTTTTATTACAATATCCAGACAGGATAAACCCACTTGTTTCCCTTTTTTTTTTTTTTTTTGGCCCCCTGCATTTGGAGCGTGGAGTCTTAACCACTGGACCGCCGGGGAAATCTGATAAACCCACTTAAAAATAAATATCATCAAAGGAGTTAACCTTCACCCAATACTGTTTAACCCCTTCACAGAATCTTGTTCCATCTACATATTTATAACAGGCTAGGCACTCTATTAGACCATCTCTTTAGAGTCAAAACAGATGCTCAGTGATAAAACTTATTTTCTGGTACTTAAAGTACATAGAGTACAAGGTTATTCACATATATTATTTCATTTAACCTTAACAACCCTAAAAGGTAGGCATCTTTATCCCAGTGTTTTTCAACTAGGAGTGATCTTGCCCCCTCCTTCCAGCACCCCCCAACCCCACGGACATCTGGCAATGTCTAGTGGCATTTTTCATTGTCACAGTTGTTGGGAAAGGAGGGATTGATACTGGCATCTAAAGGGAGAGGCCAGAGATGCTGTTCAACATCTTATGATGTACAAGGTAGCCTCCCATGATGAAAAATTGTCCGGTCCAAGATGTCAATAGTGCCAAGATGAGAAACCCTGATGGCATTGTCTTTCAGTTAAGAAATCAAAGATTTAGAGAGCTTAAGTTACTTGCCCAGAGTTACACAGATCCCAAATCATCTCTGAATGACACCAAAGCCAATGGCACATTCCATCACACACACAACTACTGGAGACTGTTTCTGATGAAATATGTACTGTTTTCTTATCAGTGTTTCCCCTCCCCATTTAGTCTTGCTATACTTTAGGTTTTGCTAATCAGCATTAGCTGACCTCATCCAGGAGAAGAATCAGGAAAAGCTTTCTCAGACTAAGAGGTCAGATTTAACAAACGTCTTCTCTTGTGCTCTCACTGCATCCAGTATTTACAGCTTCAGTGCAGCAACTACCATATTGTACTGTGCTTGTATGACTTTCTCCCCTTTAGACTATAAACTCCTTAAGAGCAAGGTCTGCCTCTTTATTTTTGTATTCCTAGTGCCAAGGAAAGTATCTCAGCACAGAGTTTACATTTCATAAGTATTTGTTAAACAGACAAAAGAAAACTGACCAAGTTACATAGTATACCCAAGAATGCACAGCTACTAAATGACAGAACCAGGATTCAAATTCAAGTCTCTCCACTGCCAAAGCCTATAGTTACTATATCTCAATGAAGCTAAAAATGAGATGTTTATCACCTTTTTATCTTGCCTGTGGGAATTCTTCAATCATAAACATGTCAGGAATTGTATATAAAGTCCCTGTTTTAAAGACAGCTTATAATCATAAGAATTTTCCTACCTTATACTTGTGTACATTCTGTGAAAGCTTGCAAGGTAGTTAGCATGTAACGATAGTGATAATCTCTCCCAAATACCACAGTTATAAAGGGGCCGCTGTGTTTTTATTTGATAGTCTCCCTGAATTCAACACTCACTACATAGAAATTAATGTTATTTTGAGCTGTCACAGGAACCGTTCATAAAAACTAAGCCAGGGTCTCTTAGGAAGAGAAGAACTCACTTTAGCTTTTATTTCTTCACAGTCCCCTTCTCCATCATTGCAGGGTTCCATGCCAGACTCCTCCTGGATGTCTTTGTTTAGTACAGAATACTCTTCTAGTAGAGTGTCAAACAAAACTATTCGCTTGTTCTTGAAGAAGCCATAAAAATAAGCATTGCTGTGGGAAGAGCGTTTAGATCCTAAGGAAAAGACAGTTCAAAGCATGGAAAATAATTAAAAAGTATGGGGTTTTTTGGAGAGACGCCTAGAAACTGAATTACTGGAAAGGACATTAACATTTTCAAATTGTTTAACACCTGAAGAATATTATATCAACATAAATCACCACCAGCAGTGGAAAGCGCCTGTTTCTTTGCAGTCTTGACAACAAATATTTATGCTCATTGCAGCTTTAGAGCAATAAGTAAATAAATAAAGCCTAAATATCCAACAGTCATGGAATGATTAAATTATGGTAAAGCTATGAAATGGAATTTTAAGCAGCCAGAAAAAAAGTATACTTTTGAAATATTTTAACAAGATAGGAAAAAGCTCACCAAAATAACTGAAAAGGATGTAAAACTTCATGTATATAAAATTCCATTATTGTCATGAAAAAATGTACATGTAAATAGAAAAGCAGAAACACAAACCTATTAAGAAATATATTAAAATATTGAAGTGTTTATCACTGGCTTCTAGAAATATGGATTTTTGTTCCCTCCCTTATACTTTTCTCTGTTCCAAGGCTTTTAAAGTCAGTATACTTATTTAATCAGAAAAAATTAAAACTATCTTAAAAAGACTGAAAAAAAAAACCCTGAATTTTTAACAGTGGCTAACAGTAGCTGAACTATGGCTGATTTTTATCTTCTTCTTTATAATTTTCTTTATTTTCTATACTTTATTTTCTTTATATTTTATGTTCTAGCATGTGCAGTGAATTTAGTGGTTAAGAATGACTTTAGGTTCAAATCTTGGCTCTGCCATGTATTAGTTGTGTAAATGTAAGAAACTTTCTTAATTTCTTTAAGCTTTATTTTCCCATTTATGATATGAGGAGAGGACTTTTTTGGTTTGGTTGCCTGGAAGTTAAGAGCCAAATATGTGGTCCAATTTTATCAATAATATAGGACCTTAGGATCTGGAAAGCTGGGTATCTAGATCTTATACTTCTATCTCATTTCTATCTTCTCTGATTCTAATTTTTATATTAATTTAAAAATATTTCTTAGAAGCTACCTGAAGTTACCTATGGAAGTAGGCAGATAAATAAAACAAAATGAATGTCTTAGTATCTCCCACTGGTCTAAGTATCTCAAAGTGTGGCCCAGAGAATGCCTACACCAAAATCACCTACGGGTACTTGTTAGACATAAATACTAGAAACACCCAATATCTGAGAATGGAGCCGAGGAATCTTTAAACAAACTCTCCAGGGAATTCTTATATTCACTAAAGTTTTAAGAGTCCCTGCACTAGACCATAAGCTTTTTGTATCACTATGCCTTGCATGTAGTATTTATTCAATAATGCTTGTTTACTGAATGGATTTATCGTACCACTTGAGGTATGAAGTAATGTATTTGGGAACTCTGAAAACCAAAACGTTCTATGAGATTGTAAGGCATGGCCAGCTGTCTCTTCATCTTTCGTTTATGATGTCTTATCTTAATCAACTTCTTGGCAGCATTTGATACCGTTGACCACTCCCTCCTTGAAACACCTTCTTCTCCTAGCTCAAGAGAAACACCGTCTTCTCCTCGTTTTCTTCCTACCTCAGTGGTCTCTCCTCTTCAGCCTCCTTTGCTGGCTCTTCCTCCTCTGCTGACTCTGACCTGAGCCTCCTTCTCTTCTCTAAGTGCCCTCATCCAAGGAGGTATCTACATGCCAGATACAGATACTTCCATATCACTATTTCTAGCCCTGATCTCTCCCTAGAACTCTGGATTTATATATCTAGCTGCTTATTTGACAGGCCTACATCTCCACATGGATGGCTAAAGTGCCTATCTGTTGTTTATATTCTCAAGCATAGTATTTCCCTGACCAGTATTAGAATTCCCTTGCAGAGTTTAGGGAATTTCACATCATGCAAGTCTTGTGAGAGACTGCTTCTCATTTGAGAAATCTAAAAAGCTAGCTATCTGCTTCCCCAAGCACTCCTGGCAGCTAGCCCAGTGCCCTGGCTCAGTCAGTCAGATGCACCCACTGGGGACTCTGAAACAGTTAGCTAATTACATAAAGAAGCAGGGCAGTGAGGAATGAATTCTGCAGGTGCTAGTGGAAGGGATGTTAGGGATACACACTGCTGACTCCAACATCAGGAGCCACTAGCAGTGTCCTCCCCAGACTGGTTCTGCAGGATGATTCTGAGTTCCTGGTCTCCCGATGGAGAGTCCACTTCCCAAGTTTGGTAAACTTAACTTTCCTGGTGACTTTGTGAGTTATCAAATATTGTTTCAATAAGGAATTTCTCTGGTTAAATCAGCTATAGTTGGTTTCTATGGCTGGCATGCAACTAACTACTGCTTGTAGAACTCTAGTACAATGTTCAATAGGTATATAACACATCCATCAGAACTTAAACCCTCACAGACCTGCTCTTCTCCCAGTTTTTTCCCATCTCAGTAACCTACCATTTATCCAACTGCTTAGTCCAAAAATCTAGGTCGTTATCTCTGATGTCTCTTTCTCTCTTATTCCTTTACATGTCATCTACCGGCAAATTCCATCAACTCTACCTCTAAAACACATCCCCAGTATATCCACTTCTCTCCGTCAATTACTACTATTCTAGTCTAAGCCACATTATCTCCTCCTGAACAGCACTGGCCTCCTAACTGCTCTCCCTGCTTCTACTCTTGCCTCCCCTACCGTCTATTCTCTATATAGCAACATAAAATAGGTAAAAAGTACAAACTAGGCCATGTCACTTTCCTGCCTAAAACCTTCAATAGCTTTAACCCTAGACTTAAAATAAAATCCAAGCTCCTTACTCTGATTTACAAAGGCCTATGTGGTCTGACTCTTGCTTATGTCTCAGATTTCATGTCATAACACTTTCCTGCCATGTGGTAGCCACACTGGACTTTTTTCTGTTTCTTGAAGATACAAAGCTCTGGAGGGTCTCTCCATTGATCTTGGCACGGATGGCTCCTTCCTTCAGATCTCAGCTTAAATTCATTTGCTCAGAGATGTCTTGTCTGATGACCTAATCGAAAGTATCTACTCAGCCATTCTTTTTCACTTCACATCAGTTTAATTCTCTGCACAGTACTTACTATCTGATATTTTCTGAGAGCAAGACTCTTGGTTTTTCACTCGGTTTTTCCTTTCAATTTACAAATCCATCATGTGTGTTGTTACTGTTATTACCAACATTCATTTACTCAAAATATTTTTGACAACATTATTAACAACAACAGAAACATGCATTGCGGATGGGTAACTTCTGTTCAGCAGAGGTAAGTTGTCCAAAGTCACACGGGGAATCTGTGCTAGAACCAGAATTTAAACGCAAACCTATTGGCTCCACAGCCTGACCTCTGAAATGCTACCCTCCACCTACTCAAATCTTGAATTTCCACAAAGTCCCAGCTTATGTTATAACCCTCCATAAAGCCTTCCCTGACTATTTCAGCTAAAATCATATAGCACTGATGGTATATATCACATATCTTCTCGACTACCTCTACTGTCATAGCATTAGCATTCACGTTATCTGATTATAAGTGATCGGCAACTTAGGTTGCCCCTTCAGTAAAAGCGCCTCAGAGATTGTTCTACTATACTGATCATTGTGCTACTAGTTTAATATTATTAAAAGACTAGTAATCTCAGAGGCCAAAGCAGTAGTATGAATTGGCTTCTTTTTCTACTATTTCCCCATAGACATGTCCTAATTGTGCCTTTAGTTGGCTGCCAAATGCCTGAGATTTCTATACTCTTCTCGTTGCTGTTAATTCATTCTTTCCAGTTGTGACCATCTCTGTCCTCCTGGACCCTGCAATTACTTCCCAGTTTCTACTCCTTCATCCGCCATAGCTACTTCTCAATGGTGATTTTTACTTTAGAGGAGGAATGGGCAAACTATGGCTTGCAGGTCAAATCAAACCTGCCACTTATTTTTATAAATAAAGTTTTATTAGAAAACAGCCATGCTTGTTTCTTTATGTATTACTATGGCTGCTTTTGTACTATCATGGCAGAGTTGAATAGTTGCAACAGAGACCATGCGACCTGCAAAGCCTAAAATAATTACCGTCTAGCCCTTTACAGAAAGCATTTGCCAGACCACAGTTCAGAGGAAGCAAAACTGAAACCCAGAGATGCAAAGTGACTTGTCCAAGATCCCACAGCTGGTAAGTGGCAGAGGCAGAACTACACTCATTCATTTACATGGATTTTAATTTACAGATTCTGAAAGTCATGGTACCACACAGTTTTTCTTTGCATCTTTGTAGGTTTCCTTGAGACTTTAGTAGTCTTACACAAGCTAACAGATAGCTTAATTTTCAAAAGCAATCATCAGAAAAGCAGAGTATAACTAATCCAAAATACCAAGTGGCACCAATCTTGGGTAATCTGCAGGTGAAATCAGAGTCCTGCAGAACACTGGAAGTTTTCTTGGTGGAGACAAAGCCAATAACATTGGTTTTATTTTTGAGCCCCCAAACCACTGCCAAATGGAATCTAAGCAAGAGTCCAACTCAGTTACATATAGGAGCCAGGCAGGTATTAGAAGTGAAAAAATCAGTCTAATATTATGACATAGCAGGGAGTGATAAAGGCCTTGGTGCAGAATTAAAAACAATAAAACCAACCAAACATAGCTGCAGGCAAGAGCAGGACTTGGCATCAGGCCACCAGTTTCTATCCCTGGACTATGTCATCGATTCTTATAAATCTTCAAAAGCCAAAATGTAAAATCCTAATCTTTAAATAACAAAAACAAACAAACAAAAAAAACCCCAAACCAACTGATTTGTTCTTTTATTAAAGTTTTAAGAATAAACTAATCAAATAAAAGAAATCGCTCAAATAAAATCTTCTTACCCCAGGGAGCCTTACCTTGAACAACATACACCTTAGTCAAAGGGAAGTCAATACTCTTTGCCATGACTTCAATTTCCTGTTTAAGCCTTCCCTCAGGAAGAGGTGTGAATTTGTCAAATAAAGGGGCAATGTAATCAGCATAGATGGTGACAAGCGCCTGAAATGCAAATATGAGAACAACCTAGGAATATGTCCTTAAAGGGAAACTACTCACTATACAGATTCAGTATTAAAACTATGTGACCCCAGCCCTGAGAACAGGGACCTTATCTTATTTGCTCTGGTACTCCCAGCCCGAAATAGTACCAGTACAGCATTCAATATCTGTTTGATGAATTAAATCAAAATGAATAGTCTCTATATGGTAATAACTGAAAAGCCAAATGGTCCATTCAAAACTATCTTGGGGATTTCTGACACTTCATGAGCCCATCATACCTTGGAATTCTGTCTTTCAAGGTAATCATAATAGACTTGAAGTGTTTGCTAAAAAAAGAACTACTAGAGCTTGACTGTGTGCTATTATTTGGTTTGCCTGCTAATATTACTGACCTGCAGTTCATAGCTATACACACTGGTTGAAACAGTACTTCCTTAAGCATTTTAGGAGCATTTCCTCTGCTCTCTCTCCTGCCACTTCAATTTGCCATACAACATATATTTGTAAGTCCAATTAGCACCCATTTTCCAGTCATGATCCCACCAGCAGGAGGTGAAGCAATGAGCATCATGGTAATTCAGACTAAAAGAAACCTCACCATCAGTGCAGCTGAAGAGCTGATAGGACGTATTTTCTGGGGGCTGTTAACAGGCCATTTTGATTGTGTTGTAGTGTTTGTGCTGTGAAGCAGTTTGGAATATCGGAAAGAGAAGAGGAAAAGAAGATGTGAAGAAGGGACAGTGGGGAAGCGGAGAGAGGAAAAAGGAGGGAGAAGGAAGAGAGGGAAGAAGGGGGGGCTGTGGGGGGAAAAGGGAAGAGGCAGGGCGAGGGGGAGGGGCAGGAGGAGGGGGCAAGGGACAGAGAAGAAGGGGTAAAGGGCAAAGGGGAGAGGAGGAAGGGAAAGGCAGGGGAAGGAGGGCAGGAGAAAGCAGACACGTTTATGCTTTCTTTTTCTTATCCCGCTTACATCTATTCTCTCTCCAAAATATCCATGGTTTTTAGACACTGGAGCTCAGTCAAGAGTCATCAAATTGTCAAACTTAGTCATCGCTCTGGTGGCAACTCACAAATGCACAGCCCCAAACTGCTTGACAACTGCATCATTAAAGGTAACTAACAACTAGCTTCTAGAATCTGTAAGAGCCAGTATAAGGAGAAGAAAATCTATGGTCAGAGTCAACTCTCCCATTTCTATAGCTAAAAGCAGAAAACAGAAGGGGAATTTATATGAGCACCTATTTATATTTCTTCTGCTTCTTAAGAACCATTTAGATGCTAATGAAGATTAAATGACAGTTATCTCACCAAGGAACATTTTGTAAAAGAAAATCGAAACAAAGATTTCACTTACCAGAGATACAACTAGTGTGAACAGCCAGGCATAAATAAAAAAATAGTCTCCCCCAATTTTAATAATGTAAAGTAGAAGTGAAGACACAGGTAATAAAATGCACTGAGTCACAATAAATTTCTTGATTGCATCTTTCATGAAGAACCCCAAAGTCTGAAAAAATAAAAGGTCATAATGAGAAACTAAGAAACTGCTTTTAAAATAACAAATAAGTGAATAGAAAGGATACATTGTTAAAGCAATTTTAAAAATTAAAAGGCAGTGAGACTACATGACAACAGGTAGCCTAAGACAATAAGTCAATGTCTTGCATTTTAGTTTAAAATAAACTCATTTAAATGTTATTAGCTGAAAAAACACTAGACATTAGTGCTAGAAGAGTTTATGGCAAGACCTTAAACTATGATCTTTACCATATCTTCAGTTCCTTTTCCCTCGATTAATTCATGCTATAAAATAGCAAATTATGTTTTAATTATTCCCAGCAGAGGACAAAAGCACAAAAGAGAACATTTGCATTCTCTATTTTACCTGCTGATTGAAACCATGTTTTTCTTCTATCACAAAAGTATTATAAAGACTCCACGGCAAACCAGTCAATGCACTGAAAAGTGTAGCCAGCAGCAGAAACACCAAGGACTGAGTGATCTATACACAAGAAAAAAAGAGGCAGTTTTTTAATATTAATTCATTCTTCAAATGAAATATTAGGGAACCAATCAACGAGTATTTGCTGAGTACTTACTATAACTCAAGCAATGTGCTTGATTCTACGGGCCTGAAACATCACTGCTACCCTCAGAGTTTATTTGCAAGACAGGGAGGCACTAAAACACTTCCTTTTATTACACGGGCACCATATGAAAGTTAATTGAAGTCATAGAGACAAAATGGTTAAAAGAACTTAAATTCAGCCACATATGCTGGTGAATTCAAGAAAGGCTTACAACACTGATGAGAAATGGAATGCTACTCTGAAGAAAGAGATAAATTAGTGGGACAGAAGAGGCAAGGAGAAATTCCACACAATTTGCAAAAGCAAGGAGAAAGAAAAGGGCACCTTAAAAGTGAAAGATGACAAGATGATGGGTCTAGTTGGGACCAGGCAGAGACACATAATGGAGCATCAGGAAAGCTGGGCCAGGGCAGGTGGGGCAGAGTGTGCTAAAGTTTTAACAGAGCCAAAACTCAAGAGAGAAAATAACCCTCTAGAACTCCTTTCATTGCCTTAACAACAGGTCCTTAGGAGATCAAAAGCCAAGAACTGCCTCATTTTTCTTCACAAATATCTTTTCCTATGACAGTGGAGGATGAGGGCTAATTGGTATGAAGGGACTTGGGGGGAGGGGAAGGCAATGAAGCAAATAAAAGCCTCGCTCTCCCCCCCACCACACCATCACTCTCCTTCTCACTCCTCAGTGTAAAACTGGATTCTTTGAAGTGTGAGTACACCACCAAAGCGTATTTGACTTGGTAGTAAAGGTGCAGCCACTATGTTTCTAAACATAGGAAGAGGGAGAAGGGAAGAGGAAAAAAGGAGAGGTGTCTGGCTACAACATGCAGGGTGGTTTATGCCAGCATTTGTCCCCAAATGGGAAATGAGAAATTTTTTAAAAGTAGATTCCAGGACCTTCCTCAAAATTACTGAATCGGAATCCCATCTTCAAAAAATACAACCATATTGTAGAGATTGTTTGAATACCTGCTTTACTCATTTAACATATCACGAACATCTTTCTATATCAATAAATATAGATCTACTTCATTGCTAATGGCTCCATTACATATATTTCCATTATGTATGTAGCATTCATTCCAATGCTACAATGAACCTGTTTCATTCATTCCCCATAAATTCGTAAAAGTGAAATGTCTGATGTCAAACTTTTTTTTTTTTTTTTGCGGTACGCAGGCCTCTCACTGCCGTGGACTCTCCCGTTGCGGAGCACAGGCTCTGGACGCGCAGGCCCAGTGGCCATGGCTCACGGGCCCAGCCGCTCCGCGGCATGTGCGATCGTCCCGGACCGGGGCACGAACCCGTGTTCCCTGCATCGGCAGGTGGACTCCCAACCACCGCACCACCAGGGAAGCCCTGGTGTCAAACTTAAATTTTAAAAGATTTTTGATACAAACTGCCAAGGTGTCCTCTAGAAAAACTATACTAGTTTTCAGTCTGACAGCACCATGAGACTAGTTCCCTATCCCTCAACAATTCTGTCCTATGATTCTTTTAACTGTTTTTTACCCAATATGATATGATAGGCCAAAACAAAGAAAGAAGCACAACTCCTCGATTCTTCATTGTTGTATTAAAACACATTTCTTTGATTGTCAGCATGGATTTATATTTTTCATGTATTTTATGATCATACGAATTTCTGCCTTTGCCCATTTTTGTGTTGAGGTACTCAATTTTTTCTAAAGTGTTCTTTCGGGACTTCCCTGTTGGCATAATGGTTAAGAATCCGCCTGCCCATGCAGGGGACACAGGTTCGAGCCCTGGTCCGGGAGGATCCCACATGCCGCGGAGCAACTAAGCCCCTGCGCCACAACTACTGAGCCTGCGCTCTAAAGCCCGCGAGCCACAACTACTGAAGCCTGCGTGCCTAGAGCCTGTGCTCCACAGCAAAAGAAGCTGCCACAATGAGAAGCCCGTGCACTGTGATGAAGAGTAGCCCCCGCTCACCGCAACTAGAGAAAGCCCGTGCGCAGCAACGAAGACCCAACACAGCCTAACTAATTAATTAATTAATTAAAAACTCTAGATCATATTAAAATTTATAGTTTCTTCAGACTCACAGACTTAGAGAACGAACTTCTGGTTACCAGGGGGAATGAAGTGGGAAAGGGATAGTCAGGGAGTTTGGGATTGACATGTACACACTGCTATATTTAAAATGGATAACCGGGACCTACAGTACAGCACAGGGAACTCTGCTCAGTGTTATGTGGCAGGCTGGATGGGAGCAGAATTTAGAGGAGAATGGATACATGCATATGTATGGCTGAGTCCCTTTTCTGTGCACCTGAAACTATCCCAACATTGTTAATCGGCTATATTCCAATATCAAATAAAAAGTTTAAAAAAATTATAGTTTTTTTTTGTTTAAGTATTGTCAATGTATCTTTGTTTATATTTAAATACTCAATTCATCTAAGTCTTTCTTTTTCTTGGAGGATATAAAATTGGAATTTATTTTTTTCTCAGTTGTCCTAAGAAAATTTATAACCTATATATTCCTCACCAATCTGAAATGCCACCTTTATCAGATACCAAGATTACATATACTTAGTTAGGCCTGTTTCTGGTACCGATACACTATTTAAAATTTATGATACATTTTAATATCTAAAAGTTACCACTCATTATTTTACTTATTCAGAATCTTTCTGGCTCTTTCTCTGTCTTTAGTCTTTCAGATTAACTATAAAATGTTTTATCATGTGCCCTTCACAAGATGCTCTGGGATTATACCTGGGCTCTATTCTTTTTTTTTTGGCTGCATCGGGTCTTAGTTGTGGCACGCAGGCTCTTCGTTGAGGCATGAGGGCTTCTTTCTAGTTGCAGTGTGCAGGCTTCTCTGTAGTTGTGGCGTGTGGGTTTTCTCTCTCTAGCTGTGGCACAGGCTCCAGAGCACGTGGGCTCTGTAGTTTACGGCACGCAGGCTCTCTAGTTGAGGTGCGTGGGCTCAGTAGTTGTGGTGCCCGGGCTTAGTTGTCCTGCAGGATGTGGGATCTTAGTTCCCCGACCAGGGATTGAACTTGCATCGCCTGCATTGGAAGGTGGATTCTCTACCACTGGACCACCAGGGAAGTCCCTCTACTCTTTTTTTTAAAGTTCATACATCTCTTCTTTAATAATTCACTGAAGAATTGTGATAAGGCACTGATTATCAAGTTTAGCATTCTGCACAGAATGTACCATTCTCTCCTTTTGAAAGTCTAGATTTTGCTCACCTGTAGTCTTCTGAAACATTCTCCATTCTCCCTAGTTTATCAACGTATGCCATAAATTCAAGTTCCTTCTGCACTAACATATAAATCGTCTACGTATGGAGCCTTGAATTAATTTAAGATAACTTGAGTTCTTCTTAATCTCACTTGTCTTATGCATAAATACCATTTTAAATGAATAATTCTATCAATAAACCATTTTTCTTCTTAAAGAAGATGAACAGGAAGTCTAATTCCCCAATCAGTAGGCTTATTCCCTCCTTAAAACACTAAGATTCCAAGAGCATTGTAAATTGTTTTGCCTTAAACAGTAAAACAGCCTCTTAAATGGTCCCCCTGCCTAATATCAATCCCTCCCCTTTCGATCCATCCTACATACACACCAGATGAATCTAAAACTCCACTTCTCTACTTTAAAAGCTCATAATGGCTCTCTAACAGGGGTCCCCAACCCCGGGGCCACAGACCAGTACTGGTCTGTGGCCTGTTAGGAACCAGGCCACACAGCAGGAGGTGAGCAGTGGGGGAGCGAGCGAAGCTTCATCTGTATTTACAGCCGCTCCCCATTGCTCGCATTACCGCCTGAGCTCCGCCTCCTGTTCAGATCAGCTGCAGCACTAGATTCCCAGAGCAGCGAACCCTACTGTGAACTATGCATGTGAGGGCTCTAGGCTGTGCACTCCTTATGAGAATCTAATGCCTGATAATCTGAGGTGGAGCTGAGGCAGTGATGCTAGCAGTGGAGAACAACGGCAAATATAGATTATCATTAGCAGAGAGGTTTGACTGCACAGAGACCATGATAAATCAATTGCTTGCAGACTCATATCAAAACCCTATCAGTGAGTGGCAAGCAACGATTAAGCACCGGGTGGCAAGCTTTATTGTGGCAAGTGAGTTGATGTACATCAACTGTACAGCTGCATCTAGTGGCAGGCTTTAAGTCAGAATCCGATACGTTTTAGTCTGCGCGTGGCCTGCCCATTAATCTATCTACTTCCATCCATGCCTCTTTCCCACACTGCGCACTTGTCTCAGCCACAGTTTTGGTAAGCCCACAAGCTAACCCTAGCCAGGATGAGTAAAAAAACAAACGTCACTGGAGAGCTTCTTTGGAAAGGGGGAAAGACCCAGTGATGAGACAGCAGAAGACTCTAAGACTGCCAACAAAAAGAAAGCTACATTTAAAAGAAAATACCAAGAGTCCTACTTAAATTACGGGTTCATTGTAACAGGGGATTCACATTCTCCAAGCCTGCTTTATATAATACGTGGCCACCGGCTATCCAATGAAGCCATGAAACCTTCAAAACTGCTTCGCCACATGGAGACCAAGCACCTGCACTGAAAGACAAGCCTCTGGAGATTTTCAAAGGAAAAAAACCATGAACACGAAGAACAGAAGCAATTATTGAAGGCCACCACTTCATCAAATGTGTCTGCACTAAGAGCATCACTCTTAGTGGCTAACCGCATGGCTAAAGCTAAGAAGCCCTTTACTACTGGTGAAGAGTTGATCCTGCCTGCTGCTCAGGACATTTGTCATGAACTTTTAGGAGAGGCTGCAGTTCAAAAGGTGGCACGTGTTCCTCTTTCGGCTAGCACCACAACTAGACGAATTGATGAAATAGCAGAGGATACTGAGGCACAATTGTTAGAGAGCATTAATGAGTCACCATGGTACGCAATCCAGG